CGAAGTAACACCCTTAAGGCTAAGGCCTTCGCCATCAAAGATCGACATGTTCGACCTCGTTCGAACTCAGACAGGCTGATATTTCGATAAGTTCGAAATAACACCCTTAAGGCTAAGGCCTTCTCCAATAAAGATCAAAATGTTCGACCTCGATCGAACTCAGACGGGCTGATATTTCAATAAGTTCGAAATAACACCCTTAAGGCTAAGGCCTTCGCCATCAAAGATCGACAAGTTCGACCTCGTTCGAACTGGGACTTAAGGCTAAGGGCCTTCGCTATCAAAGATCGACATGTTCGACCTCGTTCGAACTCAGACAGGCTGATATTTCGATAAGTCCGAAATAACACCCTTAAGCTAAGGCCTTCGCCATCAAGGATCGACAAGTTCGACCTCGCTCTAACTCAACACGGGTCGTTATTTCGATAAGTTCGAAATAACACCCTTAAGGCTAAGGCCTTCGCGATCAAAGATCGACATGTTCGACCTTGTTCGAACTCAGACGGGCTGTTATTTCGATAAATTCGAAGTAACACCCTTAAGGCTAAGGCCTTTGCCATCAAAGATCGACATGTTCGACCTCGCTCGAACTCAACACGGGTCGTTATTTCGATAAGTTCGAAATAACACCCTTATGGCCAAGGGCCTTTGCCATCAAAGATCGATATGTTCGACCTTGCTTGAACTCGAGACGGGTTGTTATTTCGATAAGTTCGAAATAACACCCTTAAGGCCAAGGGTCTTCATCAAAGATCGACATGTTCGACCTTGTTCGAAATCAGAGGGGCTGATATTTCGATAAGTTTGAAATAACACCCTTAAGGCTAAGGCCTTCGCCATCAAAGATCGACATGTTCGACCTCGTTCGAACTCAGACGGGCTGATATTTTGATAAGTTCGAAATAACACCTTAAGGCTAAGGGCCTACCTCGTTCGAACTGGGACTTAAGGCTAAGGCCTTCGCCATCAAAGATCGACATGTTCGACCTCGTTCGAACTCAGACGGGCTGATGTTTCGATAAGTTCGAAATAACACCCTTAAGGCTAAGGCCTTCGCCTAGAGGTGTTCATGGTTCGGTTTGGATCGGTTTTTCCCTAAAAAGAAACCAAACCAAGTAAGTCGGTTTTTCAAATTTTAGAACCAAACCAAACCAATTAAGTCGGTTTTTTCTCGATTCGGTTTATGTTGGGTTTTGTCGGTTTTTCGATTTTTTCGGTTATTTGTCGGTTTTTTCTTAAATATAAGATATACACTACCAAACACATATTCCGGAGACCAAATTTTCAACGTAACACTATCAAATCAATTTCCCTTTAAGAAATCTATTATTTACCAAGATACAATGATGATAATTGAACCAAATAGGGATGAATAATTTAAGGACTCAATTAAAAATATATTATTTTTAACACGAAATGGATACTTACACTTAACAAAAGAAAACTACCAATCAAAATAGAATGTAAAGGTACAGAACTATACTAAAAGTGTAAACTATTAACATTTAGCATTAAATTTTTGAAACTTTGTATAAAAATATACATATATATAGGTGTAATAATAAATTTGAAATAGCTACTCCTATAGTCGGTTTGGTTCGGTTTTTTTCGGTTTTTTCTGATTAAAACCAAGACCAAACCAAATTTGATCGGTTTTTAAAATTCAAAACCAAAACCAAACCAAACCAAAAACATCGGTTTTTTTGGTCGGCTTGGTTTGGTTTTCGGTTTGGTTCGATTTTTCGGGTTTTTATGAACACCCCTACCTTTGCCATCAAAGATGGACAAGTTCTACCTCATTCGAACTAGGACTCAAAGCTAAGGGCCTTCGCCATCAAAGATCGACATGTTCGACCTCGTTCGAACTCAGACGGGCTGATGTTTCGATAAGTTCGAAATAACACCCTTAAGGCTAAGGCCTTCGCCATCAAAGATCGACAAGTTCGACCTCATTCGAACTAGGACTTAAAGCTAAGGGCCTTCGCCATCAAAGATCAACATGTTCGACCTCGTTCGAACTCAGACAGGCTGCTGTTTTGATAAGTTCGAAATAACACCCTTAAGGCTAAGGCCTTCGCCATCAAAGATCGACATGTTCGACCTCGTTCGAACTCAGACGGGCTGATATTTCGATAAGTTCGAAATAACACCCTTAAGGCTAAGGCCTTCGCCATCAAAGATCGACAAGTTCGAACTCGTTCGAACTGGGACTTAAGGCTAAGGGCCTTCGCTATCAAAGATCGACATGTTCGACCTCGTTCGAACTCAGACGGGCTGTTATTTCGATAAGTTCGAAGTAACACCCTTAAGCTAAGGCCTTCGCCATCAAGGATCGACAAGTTCGACCTCGCTCTAACTCAACACGGGTCGTTATTTCGATAAGTTCGAAATAACACCCTTAAGGCTAAGGCCTTCGCCATCAAAGATCGATATGTTCGACCTCGTTCGAACTCAGACGGGCTGTTATTTCGATAAATTCGAAGTAACACCCTTAAGGCTAAGGCCTTCGCCATCAAGGATCGACAAGTTCGACCTCGCTCGAACTCAACACGGGTCGTTATTTCGATAAGTTCGAAATAACACCCTTATGGCCAAGGGCCTTTGCCATCAAAGATCGATATGTTCGACCTTGCTTGAACTCGAGACGGGTTGTTATTTCGATAAGTTCGAAATAACACCCTTAAGGCCAAGGGTCTTCATCAAAGATCGACATGTTCGACCTTGTTCGAAATCAGAGGGGCTGATATTTCGATAAGTTTGAAATAACACCCTTAAGGCTAAGGCCTTCGCCATCAAAGACCGACATGTTCGACCTCGTTCGAACTCAGACGGGCTGATATTTTGATAAGTTCGAAATAACACCTTAAGGCTAAGGGCCTACCTCGTTCGAACTGGGACCCTTAAGGCTAAGGCCTTCGCCATCAAAGATCGACATGTTCGACCTCGTTCGAACTCAGACGGGCTGATATTTCGATAAGTTCGAAATAACACCCTTAAGGCTAAGGCCTTCGCCATCAAAGATCGACATGTTCGACCTCGTTCGAACTCAGACGGGCTGATGTTTCGATAAGTTCGAAATAACACCCTTAAGGCTAAGGCCTTCGCCATCACGGATCGACAAGTTCGACCACGCTCGAACTCAGACGGGCTGATATTTCAATAAGTTCGAAATAACACCCTTAAGGCTAAGGCCTTCGCCATCAAAGATCGACAAGTTCGACCTCGTTCGAACTCAGACGGGCTGATATTTTGATAAGTTCGAAATAACACCCTTAAGGCTAAGGCCTTCGCCATCAAAGATCGACAAGTTCGACCACGCTCGAACTCAACACGGGTCGTTATTTCGATAAGTTCGAAATAACACCCTTAAGGCCAAGGGCCTTCGCCATCGAAGATCGACATGTTCGACCTCGTTCGAACTTGGACTTAAGGCTAAGGGCCTTCGCCATCAAAGATCGACATGTTTGACCTCGTTCGAACTCAGACGGGCTGATGTTTTGATAAGTTTGAAATAACACCCTTAAGGCTAAGGCCTTCGCCATCAGGGATCGACAAGTTCGACCTCGCTCGAACTCAACACGGGTCGTTATTTCGATAAGTTCGAAATAACACCCTTAAGGCCAAGGGCCTTCGCCATCAAAGATCGACATGTTCGACCTCGTTGGAACTCAGACGGGCTGATATTTCGATAAGTTCGAAATAACACCCTTAAAGGATAAAGACCTTCGTTCTCGAAGATCGACAGGTTCGACCTCGCTCGAACTCAAACAGGCTGTAATTTCGATAAGTTTGAAATAACACCCTCAAGGCTAAAGGCCTTCGCCGTCAAAAATCAACAGGCTCGACCTCGTTCGAACTCGAACGAGCTGTCTTCTCGGTAAATTCGTAATGAAACCCGCAAGGCCAGAGGCCTACGTTACAAAAAGAGAACTGGGACTCGCCAAACAAGCCCTCACCTCGCGATGAGATCATGAATCGACTGAAAGATGAAACACAAGACAAGTGGCGAAAAAGAGAATTCTTTATTCATGGTCATAAATACGGGACATCGCCGCTTACATCCGGCTGGGGCCAGTCAACTCATAACTAAAAAAAAAAGGGGGAGGCAGGAAGAAAGCAACAACAAGAAATAAACAAACGCACACCGGCGTACGAAGTAAAAAAAAAACAACAAAGCACTACTTCTTCTTCACTCGACACCAACACCGCCACTACTATCATCATCTCCATAAGGCTCATCATCATCACCACCTGCACCCCCATCAATTTCGGGTGTAGCCACATCATATCCACAGTTGGCACGAGCCTCGTGAGCCTTCTCACGCGCCTCCTCGAAGGCCGCCTCAGTCACGGTGCCCGCTTCCCACAAGTTCTTGAAAATGTCTCGCTGGGCTTCGGCGTAGACCCAGAGCTCGTGAGTCTGGCGGGGAACAGCAGCGCGGGATGGTCCAGCTTGGGCCCTCAGCTGCTCATTCTCCTCCTCTAAGGCAGCGACTCGATCTGCCAGATCCGAGGCTTCCTGATCAATTGTACTAATCTGCTCCTCGAGCCTCGCTTCCCTGAGGGTCGCAGTAGCCCTCTCTGATTCTCGTTGGGACTCATGCACGCGAACGGCCCCCTCTAAGGCCGTTGCCCTTGCCGAAGCCTCTGGCCAGGCCCTCTCCATACGCTCTAAATCGGCAACCTTACTCTCCAGTGCACTCAACTTCCCTCTCCATTCAGCGCTCACCTCCGCAACTTTGGCCCGGCTCTGCTCCATCTCCAACTGCATCGCTCCTAACTTGCCCTGCAGGTATTCGCATTCTGCAGCGACCCCTTTACCCACTTCGAGCTCTTCGTCCTTAAGGCGAAGTTGCTCTTCGAGCTCGCTCTTGCTGTGGAGCGTCTGCAGCAACTCTTGATACCTTTTCTCCAACTCCTCTCCCAGAGCTCGGTTGCGGGGATCCGTCCTCAACCGCTCGTGCAACTCACAACACCTGTGGCGATAGCGACGGTACTTCTCCAGCAACTGCAAGAAAATCCTCGACCGAATGTTAGCCCTACGGATGCTTTCCACCTCCACCAAATACGTCTAAAAATAAAAAGGAGGAAAAAGCAGTTAAATCGATACTCACTAACACAAAGGGGAAAGTCGAAATAAGAGCCGAATGTGACATACCCTCAAACCCATTATGGCCACTTCGTTCCTCAACTTGGCATCAGCAACGTTCCGCAGGGACTCATTTTCAGCTTTCGAACACAGCAAGCTAAGCTACGACATCCCCCTGTGTCAGGAGATTCACGTCAGAAGGAATATCAAGAACACGAGACGGTCCGCCCGCGTGAACCACCGAATGAGTAAGTCCCTCTTCGAACATCCTGATATCATCAGGATCCAAATCAGACTCAGATTCATATTCGTCGACCATCATACTCTTCCCCTTCTCTGCCGCTGAAAGGGAAGTATGATCCGCCGCAGATGGAGAAGGCGCACTCGAAGTCATGACGGCGACACTAGGGGTCTGGCTCTCTGCTCCGGAAGGACGTTGATCATCACCGATAGTGGAAACTCCGAGTTGGTTCGCTATAACAGCCAAATCTTCCGGGCACTGGCTGCCAGCGCCAGCCTCAACCACTCGCTCCAGCTCTAAGGGAGACGCCGCAGCAACACTATCTCCTAGGCCCTCGGAGGGGGACTCGTCCAAATTGATCACAGCTGGAGGTACCGACTCGAATGCCACCCTTCGTCTCTTCGACGTCCCTTCCTCTTCCCCGATCGATGGTGATCCATTCGCCGGACGGATAACATCGAATGGAGCTTCTTGAGGGGCCGTCCTCGCCGGAGTGGCCAGAAGCCCGAAGCCTCCCTCGATGAAGGACGAGTAGCAGGTACTGCAACAAGACGAGCAGACGTGACCGGCCGACGAAAGGCTAGCTAAGGAGCCCTTCTCCGAACTCTCCCTGGGAACAACAAACGATGTTCAAGAGATAAAACGAGGACGGAAAAGGACAGGTAGGATATAGGGACGTTATCACCTACAAGGGGCCTACGTCCAAACCTCTCATGAAAGGTCGACCAAGTGCGAACCCCCGCTGTTTGGGGAAGGACGGCCTCAACCCATTCGCGAATCCCCTCCAAAGGCGGCGGGGGCAGTTTCTCGGCTGCGAAACCACAAATTAGGTCAGTGCATACCACACAAAAGGCAAAAGAAAAGAGAAAAATTAGGCACTCTACTAATCAGAAGCGTAGACTTACGGGCAAAATTCCACACTTCGGGAAATTCGGTTAGGTCCGCCACGAGATGCTTGGTCCGCACATAGAAAAAGTTCTCATAGAAGCGATGATTGGTCCTGTCGTCCATCTTTACCACTAGGCTTTTCGACCCCCGAGGACGCGCATGGATCATCGAGCCCCGAATCAACTGGGGCGCGAATAGGCTAAGGACGTGGCCCAGAGTAACCTCTCGACCGGCAAGCTCCGCATACTTGATAAACATGAGGAACAGCTTGTACAAATAAGGAGAAAGCTGGGCCGGGCATACCTCATAATAGCGGCAAAAATTTACCACCAGCATAGGAAGCGGGAGCGTGTACCCTACAAGAAAGAGGTAGGCATAAAACATACAAAATCCGAGACGGTCAATTTGAACCCGATNACCTAAATATTCTTAGGTAAATAAAAATAACATAAAGAAAAAAATACTAACAAATCCTTCTTTCACTATTCCACAACTTATAATAAAATCAGCCAACAAAGTTCATGATCAACCATAAATTAATATTCTAATTTCACGAAATAAACTTAGCATACTAAGTTCAGACTTTAATAAGTTTTAAAAAAAAAGAAAAAGAAAAAAAGGCAGCCCATAAAGCGTAAACTCTATATATTATGAGCCGGTGAAAGTGGTGGAGGCGAAAGGCGAGTGGAAGGGCAGAAGGGGGCACTGGACCTTTAGGGAGCATTGAAAATTTTGGGAATTCATGTTTTTCATTATTTGCACTTCCTTTTGGTGAGCTTATAACTTTGAATGTTAGTCTTTCGCTATTAGCAGATAAGCAGAGCGTAACCAACACCAAGCAAAACATGACATCTGACTTTTTCTTAGTCCCTTCGCCTATGAAAAACATGTTTCTGAATCTCTGACCAGTTGAAGATTTGTTATAATTCTTTTTGGGTAATCTTTTTGTTGATTGAAGGTTTTCACCACCTCCCCCCCTTAAATAGCAAAACTAAATGATTGGATATGCTTGCATTTAATAGCAAAATTCATACATATATCACGGTAATATGTAAATTAAATGATTGGATAATCTTACATTTAGTAGCAAACTCAAACATTTATTTGAATATATCGCGATAATATGTAAACCAAATGAATTGACATATTCTTGGACGTAACGGCAATCCACACAAATCTTGTCTTAGCTTTTTTAGTTTTTTTTTCACAAATCATTGATTTGCAAAAGAGGACAACTTGACATTCCAAACTTTGTACTTTTTCCATTTTAATCTAAATGACATATTTTTTTATCGGTCTGTTCTAAAAAGAATAATACATTTTTATATATGGAAACAACTTAACTTTAAACTTTTTATTTTACCCACTTTACTCTTAATGAGATATTTTTATAGTCACACAAATATTATGGCCCCTTAAACTCCTGATTACCCTCTCTCTGAACAAAGGATGTACAAACCAACACTAAAAGAGCTTTGCCACCAGATGAGTTAATGAGGAAAATATTTAACCCAACCAAACATGAGAAAATTGGAAAATACTTTTCGAAAATTATTTTCTTTCATACCAAACACACCCTAAATGAAAAAAAAGTGGCCAAGTTTAAGGAGCCATCTATGTATTTGGCCTTTCTTTTTTCCCCTACTTCTTTCTTTTCCTTGTATAGTCATCTTGTCCCGTCTGTTTTGGGGTTGTAGCACAACTTCTATCACATAACCTGAACATCGTTGGAAATTAATCAATCCGGCACCTGAAATTATAACTAAACTACCATCTAAAAAAATGGGAGTAAAATTTGCTTACTGTATTGGTCAGAAATCTGACCACTCCGACCGAGGCGACCACGACCCTGTTTCAGTCACTGTATGAAAGAAGTCAACGGAACCATTTGGACTCCATCACCGCGACATTCTCCACAAGTGACGAGGGTACGCCCCTCACCCCGACCAGTAGGCTTTCACAATTCTGACAAGAAGTTATGGCTAAGGAAAAAGCAGGTTTCTTTCGACTATAAATATGAAGTGAAGGGAACCCAGAAGGGGGGGACTTCCGACCGACTTCTTCTCCAAAATCTCCAATAAGTCAGAGGGGGATAACAGAACTCCAGGAGAAGGAAAAGGAAGCTCCATCTAGAGAGGAAGAGAGAGAAACACAATGATTGTAATTCCTTTCCCCTCCAAGGAGGGGCAGGGCAAAGCTTCATCATAAATAAAACATTTTCGATGTTTCCTCCATTTTTGTATTAAAATGCCATTTCTTTATCTTTAGATCCGATACGAATTATGATTAATTATGATTTATCCCTTCATCTCTTTGATTGATTTGCTTAAAAAGAGTTTAACATCTTTTAAGTCAAACAATTTAGCGCCGTCTGTGGGGATTTCCTAGTGAAAACGCCTAGTTCTCTTTTCGGATCGAAGCCAAAGAAACGCGAGAAAAGCATCCAGCTCACATCAGATTTGAAGGCAGCGCGTAGAGAAAAGGAAAATCGAACGAGCCAGTGAGGACTAGAATTTCCTACCATACCAGCCCCAAACACTCCGAACAAGGCTAAAGGTGCCGCAATCAAAACAACTGGGCAGGGATAAGGAACATCTCATCCTCATCTCCCGTAGTTCACCAAATTGGACGACGGTGCAGGGATTCCCTGGTCGAAGAACCAAACATCATCTTAGCTCAGCCGAAACCCTCCCGGTTGATGGCGTTTTCAAAATAAACAGCCAGCCGTGCGAGAAGCTGTTACACGCGTACCACGCAGGTCCGAACAAAATGTCAGCACCTGATGTCCTCAGTGCTGAAACCATCGATGCGAGCAATGCCTGCCAAACTGGGACTAAGGCCAAGGGCCTTCGCCAACAAAGATTCAGATGTTCGACCTTGCTCGAACTCGAGACGGGCTGTTATTTCGATAAGTTCGAAATAACGCCCTTAAGGCCAAGGGCCTTCGCCATCAAAGATTCAAATGTTTGACCTCGTTCGAACTCAGACAGGCTGCTATTTCGATAAGTTCGAAATAACACCCTTAAGGCTAAGGGCCTTCGCCATCAAAGATCGACAAGTTCGACCTCGTTCGAACTGGGACTTAAGGCTAAGGGCCTTCGCCATCAAAGATCGACATGTTCGACCTCGTTCGAACTCAGACGGGCTGATATTTCGATAAGTTCGAAATAACACCCTTAAGGCTAAGGGCCTTCGCCATCAAAGATCGACATGTTCGACCTCGTTCGAACTCAGACGGGCTGATGTTTCGATAAGTTTGAAATAACACCCTTAAGGCTAAGGCCTTCGCCATCAAAGATCGACATGTTCGACCTCGTTCGAACTGGGACTTAAGGCTAAGGGCCTTCGCCATCAAAGATCGACATGTTCGACCTCGTTCGAACTCAGACGGGCTGATGTTTCGATAAGTTCGAAATAACACCCTTAAGGCTAAGGCCTTCGCCATCAAAGATCGACATGTTCGGCCTCGTTCGAACTGGGACTTAAGGATAAAGACTTCGCCCTCGAAGATCGACATGTTCGACCTCGTTCGAACTCAGACGGGCTGATATTTCGATAAGTTCAAAATAACACCCTCTAGGCTAAAGGCCTTCGCCGTCAAAAATCAACAGGCTCGACCTCGTTCGAAATCGAACAAGCTAGTCTACTCG